CACGGCTGTCAACACCAGCTTTTACACTTGGTACCCGCATTATGTTCAGTGATGGCAGAGGAATGTTACATATTTATTTCCGCGTTGTTTGACTTTTGGGTCATCAGAGAGCATCTTCGTGCACAAACTTTTTCCATTCAGGGTTGTTTAGAGGCTGGGTCTGTGTGCTCCCAACATTGTAATGTTATCAAGTACTCATCGGTTACCTATTTATTCAGAAGAATATGTAGTTCCCATTAGGGCAGAATGTTTAGGAAACTTATTTAAGGGGAGAGCCAGGCGGTAAAGGGGCCAATATTCATACAGTGGAGTCAGTTTTTATCTCAGGCAAGTAGTGGATGATATGGCAGCACCCAGTTAGGGAAGGGGGAGGTGGTAGCGAAGGCTTCTTTAAAAAAAAAAAAAAAGTATTTTTATTGATTTCAGAGAAGAAGGGAGAGGGAGAGAGAGAGATAGAAACATCAATGATGAGAGAGAATCACTGAGCGGCTGCCTCCTGCACACCCCACACTGGGAATGGAGCCCTCAGTCCGGGCTTATGCCCTGACTGGGAATTGAACCGAGAACTCCTGGTTCATAGGTCGATGCCCAACCACTGAGCCACCCAGTTGGGCAGGAAGGCTTCTTGATTGTGCCCAGGCTGACTCTGAAGAGAGGAATAGGAGGGCATCTTGGGCACTGGGGACAGCATATTCTAAGGCTTAGCATTGTGAGAAGCATAGAAAATGCAAGTAGTTGATTAGCGTGAAAGATGTACCAGTACGTGGAGAGAGGCGAGAGGACTGAAGGGGTAGGCAGTGTTTGGATCGCAAAGGGTCTTGTGTACCAATCTGAAGTTAGACTTTCACCAATGACAATAGGAAGCCAATAATGAATGTGTATGTGTCAGTCCCTTTGCTTGTTTTAGGTAAACTTATCCAGCTTTGTCAGGAACAACATATTTTTTCACATACCCATATGAAAAAGGGTATAATAATGTGCACCTTTAAAAATAAATATCAAATGAGAGATAGTTGGTATTGTGGGCTGAGTATGGCTCTGGGAGTCAGGTAAGGTTCCATTAAATACAGGCACAGGGATGGGAGTGATCAGATAAGATGGGGTGATGAGTCAGAGGAGAGAGAGAAGGGGCTCACCAGCATTTTACTTAAGTGGTTGCTGGTCAGCGGTTGGCTCCAAGTGGATGTATAGTCTCCCTGGGCTATGAAAAGCACACCTGTACCCATTAAGAGTTGTGACGGAGTCCACAGCCTAAAGTTCCAGCCCTTGGTTAAGTGAGTCCCTGATTTAAATGATGAAAAGGTGTATCTGCACACCTCATGGCTCCAGCCATGGCTGGTGCATGGCCCAGACCTTGTTCTACACTGTCCTGAAGCCCCAAGACCATGTTGCAAGTTCCTGCCATCATGTTCTCCTGCCCACTTTGCAGGCCATAGGGGTCCTGGCCAAGTTTGATGACTCACAAAGCAAGCCAGGCATACTCCTAGGGTTTCAGGCCACACCAAAGTGTTCCCAGGGATTTCTTATCTTTTTGTTTTGTTTTGTTTTGTTTTGTTTTGTTTTGTTTTCTTCTTTGGATTTCATATCTTTATTCTCCTACCAGCTTACCCCACTGCTGAGTACATATCCCTGAAGGGCTATGGAGTACATATAGAGAGAAGAACCTGCCTCCATTAATAGCCTCTAGAACAACTGTTCTCAACCTGTGGGTCGCGACCCCTTTGGTGGTCGAATGACCCTTTCACCGGGGTCGCCTAAGACCAGGGGTCCTCAAACTACGGTCCTCGGGCCACATGCGGCCCCGCTGAAAACATTCATCCGGCCCGCCGGGTGTTTTTGCCACCATTGCCTGTTGCTTAGCAGCCGACTAGTTTTTTGTTGTTGTTGTTTTTTTTAATATATTTTATTGATTTTTTACAGAGAGGACGGGAGAGGGACAGAGAGTTAGAAACATCGATGAGAGAGAAACATCGATGAGAGGGAAACATCGATCAGCTGCCTCCTGCACACCCCCCACCGGGGATGTGCCCGAAACAAAGGTACATGCCCTTGACCAGAATCGAACCTGGGACCCTTCAGTCTGCAGGCCGACGCTCTATCCACTGAGCCAAACCGGTTAGGGCAGTTTTTTTAAAAGTTTTTTAAAAAGTTTGAGGACCCCTGCCTAAGACCATCCTGCATATCAGATATTTACATGATGATTCATAACAGTAGCAACATTACAGTTATGAAGTAGCAACGAAAATAATTTTATGGTTGAGTCACAACATGAGTAACTGTATTTAAAGGGCCAGAAGGTTGAGAACCACTGCTCTAGAACCTTCTCTCCTTATAGAATGTCTATACTTTAATTTTAGTTGTAGCTTTCCCCCCCTTATATTATGCTCTAAATCTCATTTTTTAGTTCTCTGACTCTTCAGCTCTAATTTTCAGATTTGTTTCCATGTGTTGATTATATCTTCTCACCTTTAGGGTAACACGCTACAGGATATATAATTCAGTGGAATCCGAGCTTAGCAATTCTAGAGCAGATATATTTTTTTTATGATAGTGTGTGAGGCTTGTGAGGAAGGAGAAAGACTTTTACCCATAAAATTTCTTGCTCTGTGGTTTCTTCACTATGGGTTTTCATCGCTCACCTGGCGAGTGAGATGTTTAGGTTTTGAGGGTTCTAAGCCAGCTAATAAAGTCATGAAATCGACCACCGTGTCAATGTTGTGCTTCTGGGTGGTCGTGTCCTTCAACACACACAAGACACTCAACCAGCTAAAAGAGATGAGCTCAGAGATGTTGGCTCGGAGGAAAAGAAGGATCACGTTGAGGTCATTGATGGGGCACCCCAGCATCTTCCTGCTGAGGAGGTCAAATGCTGGGAGCATCTCGTAGATGGACAGGAGTCGTTTGTCCCACCGACATAGCCGTGTGAGGTTGTAGATGATCACAGGCACCAGGAGGGTGTATGTTGCTATAATGGAGAGACTAACAATTTGGAAAACAGACAGGGAGGTCAGTCGGCAGGTGATGAGGTTGGGGATGTCGGTCTCATTGCTTAGCAGCTCTGTCTTGACAGAACAACTGAACTCCTTTTGGAAGAAGACATCCAGGTGGAAGTGGCCCAGGTACAGGTAAGTGGCTGAGGTGAAGAGGAGCCAGAGGGAGTTCCTCAGGAGGTAGGTAGCCACTAGTGAATGTGAGCGCTGCTTACACGCCAGGTACCGCTCCAGCAAGGGGAACTCGAAGTATCGTTCTGTGCGGGCCCTGGGCAAGGGAAAGAGAGGAGGCAAGGTGAGGAGGGCCTGTTGAGAACTGTATCCAAAGTAACAGACTCTGTGTATCCAACATGGCATTCTCAACCATGAAAACCTGCCTTCTCTGAGCATAACCACCCTCCTCCCAAAAGGAGGGAATAAGTAAGTACATCTTCACTCCCCAAGCATTGAGTGCATTGCAGTAAACCCGGTGAATGATCAATGAGGAATAAATCGCCACAAGGGATTTCTGCCCAGCAAGGCAGAATAAACCTCTAAGCAGAAGAAGTGGGATTCTTAGGAAGCAGTAAGGCTTATTAAATTAGCACTGGACTGGGAGTCTAAATAAGCCTGTTCTGGTTCATGGTCTGAGTACTCTGTGATTTTTTTATACCAATTCATTTAGTTTATAAAAATAAATGTGTGCCCTCGCTGGTTTGGCTCAGTGGATAGAGGGGTCCCGAGTTTGATTCCCATCAAGGGCACATGCCGAGGTTTCGGGCTCGATCCCTAGTAGGGGGCGTGCAGGAGGCAGCCAATCAATGATCCTCTCTCATCATTGATGTCTCTAGCTCTCCCTTTCCCTTCCTCTCTGAAATCAATAAAATATATATTTTTAAATTCCTTAAAAATAAATGTGCTAGCAAGTACTTGTTGAGAGCTGTGACATTCAGGCACATGTAAGCCAGTCTCTGTTCTGAAGGAGCTTACAGTCTGGCTTGTGGGGAAGAGGCAGATAAGCTACGCATACATGAAATAAAAATAGCACTTGATTTGTTGTTAAGATGATGACTGCAAACCATGCTAGTTGTCAGTTAGGACAGAGGATAACCGTAGGGGCTGGAGTGTTCAGAAAACTTTATGGAGAATATTGTCTTAGACTTGGCCTTCAAGAGGCAGATAAGTTTCAGAAAAGAGTGTGTGCACAATCCCGAGACAGAATGTGGTTTCAAATCTTAGCTCAACCACCCTCTTGGCGGGGCCCACCCTGGCCATTCTATTTAAAACCGTGCCACTCCACAGCCTCCCGGCTTTTCTGACCACCCCCACCCTTACCCTGCTCACTGTTTTTCTTCACACCACTTATTTTCTACCATGTAATTATGTGTTATGATTATTCGCTGTCTTGTCTTCCCTTGATAGAATATAAGCCCAGATGGGGAGGTGTAGCTTTGTCTCCCCCCCCACCTCTGCCCCACAGCACACACACATGGACACACATCTAAAGCGCCCAGAACAGCCCGGCCGGCGTGGCTCAATGGCTGAGCATTGACCTATGAACCAGGAGGTCACGGTTCGATTCCTGGTCAGGGCACATGCCCGGGTTGCGGGCTCGATCCCCAGTAGGGGCGTGCAGGAGGCAGCCAATCGATGATTCTCTCTCATTATGGATGTTTCTATCCCTCTCTCCCTCTCCCTTCCTCTCTGAAATCAATAAAAATGTATTTTAAAAAAGAAAGAAAAAGTAGTTGGTGGCAGTGTATGTAGAGGGCCTTGGAAGAATGTTTGGGGGAATGTGGACATTTTTCTATATGCATGAAGGGAGCTGTTGGAGGTTTCTGAGCAGGGGAGTGGTATAGGAAGTCGTATTTTGAGTGACCAATCCCTTTCTGACCGTGTTCATCTGCAAACTGGAGGCAGAGTTCGTTCTCCTCTCCCTGTACACAGGTGGTAGGGAGTTAATGAGAGGAGGTGTTCACCACTGTGCACTCTTGAGAAGGGTGGTACAGAGCAGGGGTGGGGAACATCAGGCCCGCGGGCCATATAAGGCCCAGGAAATCATTTGGTCTGGCCCTGCCAAGGCATCAGGGGTGAGTTAGTTAATTTGTTTGGCCAAATACAGCAGGTGAATTTTTAAGTTGATAATTTTGAATGGCCCGTGAAATGATGTTATAAATATTCAAATGGCCTCTTGGCAGGAAAAAGGTTCCCCACCCCTGGTATAGAGACGAGTTTAAACATGACCTCACAGATATCACTTTAATGCCAGGAGGAGCCCTTCAGAAAGGAGTGGAAGAGACGACTCACTTGTCCAGCTCGTCCCAGAAAACATGGGGGTCCGAGCTCTTGTGCCGGATCTTCACCATGTGCTGCACCAGGCGGATGGAGCGGTTATAGGATTTGTCCAGTTCGCTGATGATGAACAGCAGGTCCGAGCTGAGGGCCGGCGCGGCTGCGTACTGCCACAGCAGAACTGGCAGGTACATGGCCACGGCCAGGGCCAGCAGGGAGTAGGGGAGGGCCTGCGGGACGAGAGCGAGCTGAGCAGGGAGGCCCAGGGTGCAGAGAGGTCTGAGGGCCCCTGCCTCAAAGGGGAAGGAGCTACCACAGGCCCAGGACCTAAGGCCGAATACAGTGAGGCCCAGGAAAGAAGGGATAGCGAGTATCCAGGCTCCCCAGCTCCACTTTGCTGATCTGGGGTCTGTATAGGGTCCCAGGAAGGAGAGAGGCAAGAGGCAGAAAGAGAGGGAGAGAGGAAGGAAGAAGGTAAGAGAGGAATCAGGGATGGGGTGGGTAGAGAGGGCCCCCCATTCCCCATGCATGTTAGCCTTGTAAATTGTCTTAACTACATAATGTTATGAGCTAACCGGAAATCGTGGCCAACCGTGGTCCTGGCATCCCAGGTGTGTGTGTGTGTGTGTGTGTGTGTGTGTGTGTGTGTGTGAAAGAGAAAGAGAAGG